TCGCCGGGGATTTTCTAGTTTATAGAAAATCGAATTTATGGAAAATCAAGTCGATTTTCTATAAAGTAGAAAATCAACATTTCCCAGAAAGCTGGAAATTCGTCGAGGAATTTCTATAAACTAGAAACTAATTCAAGATTACAGTGTACGGAGAAGACGAATCTGCAATCGATTTTGCCAAACAAGATTTTTACAATTTTTCGATTTGGTGATATGCAAAATTCAACAGACTTGAGCAGTGGCGAAGCCAGGATTTTGAGCTAGGGGGGGCTCAGCTTCCCCTAGCCAACAACACAGTTCGCTGTATTCTGATAAAAACAAATCAATGCAGCCTCCTACAAAGCTGGAATAAGCTATTCATACCTTATAAAACCTCATTGAAACTTGTATTTACATTTACTGTATTTTCTTTTATTCAAAGGTTCGTAGAGGGGGTTGACCCCCCCTAGTGACAGGGCGTTTTCGTGTTGATTTTTAGCGCCCCGTATACGTACTTCACTTACCGTACACTAGTTCACTCCAAATTACTTTCAGTGAACTGGTGAAGGGGTGCTTTTTCCTCTTTAAGGAAGAGTTCTTATTTATCTAGAGGAAATACAAATTTTCTGTTGTGACGTAATAAGCCTACAGTTTGTAATAATTGTGTTCCATCTATAAAATGACGTATGAAAATGTTCTGAACGAGCTTATCAAACATAAGAGTGCAAGCGTTGAGATCAGCAAGTATGAAGGAACCGCATTTACGCCTCGATTCGATTAACTTTATTTTTATGTTGAAGAATTCTTTAAACTACACTTTGTTTGCATTAATTCCATTACTTAAATATATAGCATATTTGTTTCTTTGATACGACAGTGCTATTAATGCAAGAATTCCGTGAACATGGACAGAAATGAACAAAAAAAAGGTGTCTAAGCAGATTTCTGGCCCAAATTCCACTTTTCTTTATGAGTGTCGTTAGTAATGGCACTCATTTTATAGAATGACGATTATCCTAAGCTTTTTTAAGCAAAAAGAATTTCTAACTAACTCTGACTATTTCTTCGAAAGCATGTAAATTGCAATTGCAAAACATTTATCGCAAAAATATAGATCATTTATTTGGTTTTATACATTTTTTAACATTCGAATATATTTTCAATTACATGAAAGGAAATATATCTAAAAAACAATAGAAACATAGAGGAAAAAACCACGAAGAATAAAATAATTCATTTCTTTATCATAGAAAAAGAATAACATAGCTTTATCTGGGATTATGCTACTGATTAGAGAAAAATTCTCAAGATCGCGGATATTATCTTCCCGAATTTTACAGACTATGTAACTTGAGCTAAATTTTTGTAACACCGGACGGTTAAACTCACTGGCTGAAAAATTCACACCGTTTTATTGCTTTTGTTTATCAACTTCCACTATCCTCTCCTGTTATGATAATATTAATCGATGGGGGTGCAGCATTTGTTTTAATGGGATATCGTTGATGTTGTGATTGTTGTAGTTCTTCTTCAATGCTGTCACTGAAACTTAATGTTGCCCTTTTTGTTAAATTAATATAGCGTGGTTCATTACTGACCATCATCATTGGCGGCGTAGGACGTACGATACTATTATTGTGTCGTTTAAAATTCTGTCGATTATTATCTTGTTGAATCTTATAATGTTTGTTATTTGATTCATCAATCGTTTTTGCACGGCATGAGCGATATGGATGACGCTGACTTGCATCTAACAGTGAATCATCCTTTAAAAATTCATTTACAATACGATTTGTTTTTTCATCAATACTGTAATCTCGAAACAATGGCGTACTATAAGCGGGTATACTTGAGTCACGAACAATACTAAATTTTAAGCGTGGTTTTGTCATGTGACCAACAGGAAGTATTGATTGTTTTAGAGTGTTCGTATCAATAATTTGATCATAAAAATGCTGTTTATCATTTTTGTTATTTTGTGACGATGATGCAGATGATATATCGATTGAAGCCGAATGAAGATGGTGTTGCATGAGTTTGTGTTGTGATGATGCGTCGAATGAAAATGATCCATGTTTTGAACGAAATGCTAATGGTGACTGGAGATTAGTTGCTGAAACAGTTTCATTACAACTTTGATTAGGTTCATTAGAAGTAACACTTTCGTAATGTGATATAGCCTCGTAGTTATTATTATTGGGTCTATTATCGGGCACGATGAATGGTAAGGCGTGACGAGGATTTGATTTATTCAGAATACGGTCGGCACTCAACGTCACATGACGATTGTCTGAATTATTTAAGTTTTGAAGGTGATTGTTATTTTCGTTATTAATATGATCTAAAACAAACACAGTAAACTAAGAAATTTTTAAAACATCGGTTAAAATCAATTACTTGGCATAGCATATAGATTTCTAGAATCATCCGATTTTGTTCGTCTCAAATGATCATGTTTTACTTGTAATGATGACTTTTGAACTGCTAATGATACATCCGGTTGATTATCAGCACTCTACAAGCCCAATTAAATTTAATTATCAATAAAAGTGACACAACTTTAGCTTACCTGTTGACAATTCCAAGATGAGGTACGTTGTTGTTGTTGACTTATTTGAGGTTGTTGTCTTTGCTCATCTTTGAGCGCATCTTTTTTATCTTTACCAAATTCTCGTCGTTTTTTGGATGCGGTACGATTAAACGATGGTGATGATACTATTTTAGATGAGTATTCAGCCAACTTATCGTAGCCATTTGCAACTGCTGTTGTTAACTGTGGTGAGGATATTTTATAGCGATCTTCAGCAACTGGTATGCTGGTAGACAAACTTCTATATTGTATAACTGGCGTTAGTTTTCGTTGAGATTCATAAGACGATTGGCCGTATTTTAGCATAGAATTTGGCACAGGACTTCGTCTATACAAGCAATATAATAAAGATTTTGAGATGAAAATATGTAAATACCGAGAATAGAATATTTACCTCATCTGATAAATTTGTTCTTGTGCTGAGGTTTCGTTTAACTCTTCCTCTATATCTTGACTATCAATACTTATGTGTTGTTCATCGTGACTACCACCACCGAGATAAATGACACTCTCTGCTCCATCTACTGACATCCAGTCTAAACTTACTGTGCGATTTTGACTTGTTTGACTTTCCAACGATTTATAGCCACTATCGTCATGTTGTTGTGGTATTGATGATGGAAGAAGGTCTTTTTTCTCCATGATATATGTAGAAGCACACTGCTTTCCACTATTATTTGAATCTGTATTTTCATTTCCACTTGATTCAATCGATGTAAATTGATCACCCGGTCGACTACTTGTATCTGACTGCATATCAAAATCAGTTTCAAGACTTCGCTCAAAACTTGAATTTTCACTTTTTGAATTATAATTATTGTTCATACTATTGAAATCAGATGTAATTGTTGAATTATCCAGTTGTAATTGATGTTCGATTAAATTTGTCATTGTTATTGCGGTAAAATTTTCTGCTACTGATGCAGCTGCTTGCTGTTCTTCATTACTTTTCAATAGCGCATTCGATTGACTTATACAACTGCGACGTTTTTCAAATGTTCGGCGCAATGCTTGTCGTCTTACTTCCGGTGGTGGCAAGAGCAAATTTGATGAACTCTTTCGCCTTAGTTTATACACTTCAGTATCAACGATATCATTAGAATTTGTTGTTGTATCAACAGTGTGAGATGGTAAGTCGTTTGGTGTGGGTAATAATCGATTGCTGTTGATATCAATGGTATGACTTCGTAAATATGATGGTTGGTGATGGTAATCATAGTGACGCTTTGTTGCAGATGAAGGTTCTGGATTTGAATCAAATGATGTTGAAATAGATGTGTGAAATTCGGGTGATAATTCTTCTGGTGATGTTATATCATTTATATCTTGCTCACATTGGTGATGCTCTTGTTCGTTTACTAAGTTCATTGTTGCGTTATCAAAATTAGCTTCCATTTCATATGATTTTCTCAATGCCCAGAGCTCTCGTCCATCTTGAACTTGAACAGTGCCTTCTACTGGTTGTGAAGTGTCAGCATTATTCAGTTGAACAAATCGTGTATCGATTAATGTTGCTTTTCGTCCTCCACTCGTATGCGGTATATTAAAGCTACGATGTAGTTGCTGCTGATCGATCATCAATTTATTTCGGTTATTGTCTTCCTTCAAAAAAACCAAACAGTAGGGAAACAGGAATTTCATACGTCTACTCACTTATAGCAAACTTACATTACTGTATTGTTCGAGACTATGCTGTTTCATGTAACTTAAACGCTTTGATGTGTTTTGTACAACAAATTCGGATGTCAGTTTTTCTATATCCGGTATTTTAATAACTATTGGCATTTGTTTTGATGTAGCATTTGCACGATGTTGATCGTCATAATCATAGGATTTGGCACGTCTTGTTACATCAGGTCGGTTTCCAGGGCGAAGTAAGTGTACAGCGTCAAAACTCAACGATTGTTTATCAATTTCATTTCCTGGAGTCAAATCGGATGATTTTTGTTTCTCTAAGGCTACTGAACGGACACCACCACGGTTTGAATTGATATCATATGTAACAGCCAAATCTCGTTTTTCAGCACTTGTTGAATCATTCGGAGTTAAAATGATGGCTGAATTTTTTCTATTATGTGGTATTTGATGATAAATATAGTTTGGATCAAGATTAGCGGGCGAATTTGTCGGATGGGCAGTTGTAGTTTGTGCAACGGATAAATTTGATCCTCTCGGTGTATAATATACTTCTTGCGAATAGAAAGATGGTGAAGTATCATTAGTAGGGTTTAATTGTTGACGATATGTAGCAACATCAAAACTACTTTGACGATGTGACGTTAATCTCAATTGTCTTTGATCACTATTTAGCGAATAAACTTTTTCTAGACGAGCTGTGGAAGTTGTTGGACCACAGCATGGATCCGATTTTCTCGGCAATAAATTTGGCATCACAGTTAGATGAGAACATGTGCTGTTGTTTCTCACGTAGCATCGTGGATCTACTTGTAAATAAGAGTTGTCATTTAAACGTTCATTTTGATGATTATCATTTTTCGATTCGTTTGTCGCAGAATACAATAATATGTTAGGAGTGTTCTCGGTTAGTGTCCCATCAAAGACATAAGAACTACTAAAATGTAACTGTTAATCATTTTATACGAAGTTGACCCAATCAATTCATGATGCATACCTGTTTAAGTCATGTTTGCTAATTTGCTCTCGGCTTCCATGATAAGAGGGATTTCTAAGATCTGATTGTTCTTCTAATAATTTACTTCGTTCCCTGAAAATAAAGTTTAAAGTAGAACAAACTCATCGGGTAAGAGTGAAAGAGGCGACGATATTTTCACACTAGAAAGTAGGATATGTTTTTTGTTAATGATTTCATAATGTTTAATGTGCTAAATACATGATAGCATCCAAAAGGATGTATGGCTTACATCTATATCAAGCATACTGCATGTGCTGTGGTACATGTTTCGTTTTACCAGTTACTTAGTAGCTGAGAGGTTACTTCGTTTGAAAAGACGCAGGATTTAGACATCTGACACTTGAGGCAGTTTTAAAACGTACATCTTTCAATTATGTTTGCTCTTTCTAAGAAAATTAAATTGAGTTTAGAAATCTATAATCTCCTGAACATTCCAGTTGAAATACCGAAGTTGGCACATAGGAATATATTATCATCATACGAGAAACGTTTTCACAGACGAAAGAACGCAATACACGTGTCACACGTGAATTTAACGAGAAATTGTTTAATTGCATGCTAAATTAATTTCCCCGGTCAAAATGGAAGATTTTATTCTTTCTGCTTTCTGACAATTACTTAGAAAACGAAATTTATTGATGTATAAGGTTATAAGGAAACAGAGAGATTAAGAGAATAAGAGTTCACTTTCTACTTACGTCGAGAAACGTGTGTCTTGCGGGGATATTGAGTATTTATAAATCAAAAAACAAACACCCGAGCTATGCTCTTATTTCTATAGAATCTGAAAATATGTTTTCCGTTTTACTAGAATAGATTTTGACAATTCCATAATCTACAGCAGTATATCTATTGATAAAGATCCCAAAGCATAAAAGAGAATTGAAACAAAAAACATGTCATGAATATCTGATGGCACTGACATATGTATTATATTGTTAGTATAATGATCTTTTGTTATTCAACGAATATTTTTTTGTTTAGGAAACTCTCTCTATTGTAATACAGAAATATATCCGTCTATTTTGTCTTCTTTTGTCTAGTATACAAGTGTCATATAAAGTGATGAATAGGAAACAAGTGAGATGCAAGACTATAAAACACGAAAGATAACTATGTTGACACTTTTTCATTCTAGTTTATCATGAACATCCTTTTTTTTTTCGTGTTTAAGATGTAATGCAATTGAATTTTTGAACAATGTTCCCATGGTTAAAATTAGGAGTATTTTGTATAGGAATAGATTCGAATAGTTGCAACTCATTACGATCAACTATAATGGTCAGAAGGATCAATGTTAATCAATAAGATTAACTCCCAACTGAATGGTGAAACGAAAACCAATAGGATATATTGAATGAATTTTGTAGTTTTCATTTCAAGAGAATACTTGCCATTTACAAACTGCTTGTTAAAAGTATTCAATATATTTTTATAGAAGTCATATATAAAAAACAATTAAAAGTCATGTATTCCGCATGAAGGATTTCTCTTTGCAGCTCTGCGCGTGTATTATTGAAGAAAGACATTAAATATTTTTCACACATCACAGCATATGATAAGCCTTCGGGAGACATTTTTTCTGTTTTTGACAGTACTTATTAACTCTTACTGGGACTTTATCAAAAATTCTCTGGAGATGTTACTAACAGACAGCAAATTCACGGATCATTATACTTACTCATGATATTTATCGAGTGGATTTGATCGTCTCGGTTCTAATTTCAACTGTGTATTATCTATACGAAATTTTGTACTATCCAAAGCTCCATATAAAAGTTTCACTTGTTCACTTTGCCTAGAAAACGAATATATGTTTGATATTTTACAAGGAAAAACACTAGAGAAATACTTACTTCGTGTTTTTTCTATTAAAACAATATTTACAAAGTAATAAAATTGAAAAGACAATTAACAATCCACCGGCGACACCGGTTACCAATACAAATAAGGCGAGAGATGTATGAGTGAATGGTGCTCGAGATCCCTAAATAAGAAAAGAAATAAAAGAAACGCAATTATTTTAATTATTATGGTATACTCACTTTCATTCGCATTATTTTATACTGATGAGTATATCAAAAGAAATATTCTAAAATGAAAAAAGCAAATTTTTAAGCAGAATCGACATTTTTTTTTTGAAATAGAAAAAACTAAGTGGCACAAAAAAAATAAAATTCTTGATAGAAATACTTTAGATGCCCTTGACTCACTCAGAAAACGTTAAAACAAGTAATACACACTTAGGGCTATGTATCATACGATGACAACGGTATGAAGCGTGCTTCTCAAACAAAGAAGCATGATATCTTCATATAAACTAACTGTATGTATTTCATTATGTCATTTCCTTCTTTTATTAGATCAGCTAAAACACGTTCGTTTGTTCATTATTATTCTTATACTAGTCTATAATATTTAAGAAAAAAGCGTTCTTTTGTTACATTCTACCCAGACATATTTCATACCTATTAACCCAAATGTAGTGTCAGTATGTCAAAAAAAGAAATATAGCAATTTGTTTTTGCGTGTTCATAGAAGGTGCATTGGGAAATACTTGAGTGCTATTGTTATGAAACATATCATTTACTTTTTAAGCTAATATTGAATAATGAACTGTAATAAATCATTTTAAAAAAACTTGTGCGATTATGAAAAAATGCGTATGTACGTGACAAAAAGATATATAACGCATAATTTTCACTATTTTTAATCATTACTGAAGAAGTAGAAGAAGAGAAGAGAAACATAAAAGAAAGATCGTAAATTGACGAATAGAATATAGTTGTTCCCTAAAATATTTTATAGTATTTAATAAGAAAAGATGAAAATTTATCCGTTTACATGAAGTGAATGATGTTTGTTTACATAGCTTAAAGGTACAATTTATATAGCAGGTAAATCATACGAAAAATTTACTATAAAACTTATCTTTCTGTTACATATTCCTTAAGTGAATTGTTAGATTGGTTTAGAAGAACAACATGATAAACAAAAATAATTTATATGTTTTACTAAACTGTATTGTATATAGTTAAAATAGTTTTATAAACAGAACAAATGACGGATGTATTCTTATTTTTCTCTTTCTCTTTTCTGTTATAGTGTAACTGTTCGTTTTTTTTCTTTGTTGGTTCAATTTTCTATTCTAGTTATAGGATGAACTTCTATTGTATTATAATAATAGTTTTTATTTTTATTTTCACAAAAATCAACTTTTCTTCTTGTGTCCTTTGTTGAATTACTTATAATTTCTCTCCTGCACGTAACATAGTCTTTTTCTTCTCATCATGAGAAATGAGAGAGAGAGAGAGAGAGAGAGGGAGCCTGCTCGATTGTTCAAATACGGAAAGTATTATTCAATGAGTTTTCATTTATCTAATCAATAGAATATCTATACCAAGTGTTTTTTATTTAATATCAAATTGTTTTTATACACTGTGTTACATGAGAATGAGTTTAAAAAGGTAGAAGAAGTATAATACTTTATGTAAAGATTTTCTATAGATTCTCGAATGTTCTTTTAATACTAGTTAATCATATATGTTCTCGATCAAATAACTAATTGATCTTATGAAACCTCAACTTTGGAAGGAAGATTTTTTTTCTGAGTATGCAATTTAAACTATTTTGAGTACAATGAGATTGATTAGAACACGATCAGCGCTCAAAAATATCTTTTACCTTTCTAAGCAAGGAGATTTTATAGAACACAGACTGAATTGATTACTAATTTATTTTTTCAAAAAGACTGCTTTGAGCACGAACTATTCATAGTAGTATTTTAATGTCGATAAAATAGAGAACAAATGATGATATAATGATTGTCCATTTTGTCCTTGTGTTTAAAACTTCATTAATGTAAAATTAAGTGTAAAATTGATGTAAAATATGCATGGAAAAGTATAAAAAATTTTGATAAAAATTCATTATTACATTGTAATCGATATTCATTCATGGTACTATCATCGATTAATGTACAGTATCAAATATCATCTTGATTACAAGAATATACTACTTTGCCTTTTGGTCAACGTATGAAAATTTTTCTAAATAATTGAGTAGCTGTCGACAGTCTTAATGGTGTGTACTTGCAAAAAAAATTTAAAATCTTGTATTTGTAAACATACCGTTGAACTTATGATGCATTATAAATATCATGTTGTTCAAGATCTTGGAAAAAACTAGAGGATTCGAGAAAACGATGTGGATGTCTAAAAAAAAGCAACATTAGCGTTATCTCGTTGAACTTGATATTTTTCTCTTTTTTAAAAATAAATTAGTGTTCAAAACAGTTAGTTAACCGTACTCTAAAAAATTCCTTTGCTCAAAAAGATAAAAGGTCTTTTTATGAGCACTGATCGTACTCTAATCAACCTTAGCGTGTTCAAAACAGTCTTAATTGTGTATTCGAAAAAAGTATATTTCCCTCAACTTTACAAAAGTTCGTTCTCTCAAACTCGAGTTCAGTATATCATTTCTAGACGATGTATATGAAGAAGAAAATACAATACTAGCAAATTCAACAGTCAACAGATGGTCAAAGTCACGGTGAACTATGATTTTTCTAATTAATCAAATATCTCTGCTATTTGATTATATATCCATTTGTGAATTACGAACATGCATTTATTTAAAATAAGTAAATGAAAACTAATGAGTGTGAGCATGAATGAAATAGAATGAAGAAATATGGCATGCATTTACAAAATACAATTTCCTCTTTAGTCTTTCCATCAGAAACTACATTCTGAATATTTTCTACATGAAGAACAGAGATATTTATTTTTTATATCAACTTTCAGATTTTCCGTGCAAAATTTTGCTCAGTTTAATTTAATTGAACATTCAAATTTTTCTTTTTAAAGAAATTTCTTATCTTTAAATTTTTTGACATAATTTTTTAATCATTAAAGTCTTTAAATATTAAATTTATTATACATCTACTCATATATTATCCTATATATTTTAGGTCTCTGCATGTAAAACGAAAATATCTTTGTTCATTGAAAAATCGTGTACAAAAAAAAAAAGTATAAAGATTTTATCGTACATAGAAAATAACAAATCGTATAACAGAGAAGAGTCCTCATCCATTATTGTCAATTTTAAATGCATTATTATTTATTAAATTTAGTAGAAAAATTAAGTTAGAATATTAATTAATGGCTCAACGTTTCATTTGTTTATTATAAAACTCTGTTTGTATTACACCAAAAAAATTGTAAAAATAATATATCGTAGGTCAAAAAATTAACACATAACAGACTATGTTTCGAGTTTCGAACAAATAAAATGGAATTTATAGCCTTTTCACTTTCAATTAAAACGGATTATTAGTTAGATTAAAATAAATAATGAATTAGTTTTTAATTGTACAAATACACACAAGTATGAGTGTCAAGTCTAGTGGTACTAAGTCAATTCATTCATTGTAAATGATCATACAAAATTCTGCAAAAAACAAAATATATATGTCAGGAAATAGTTATCTTATCCTTCTAAGTGCACGTATGTGTTGATTCGTGTATGCTAAGTGAGATACTTGACCTACAATATATATAGTTTTTATAATTTTTTAGCGTAAATATATAATAAAATTTTATAAGGAACAAATGAAAAATTGAGCCTCTAATTAATATTCTAATCTAATTTTTCTACAAAATTTAATGAATCAAAATGTGTTCAACATCGACAATGCTCATTCTGTACATACCATTATTTTTCCTTTATATTTCCATGTATGTAATACATGAAAGTCATCCGAAGAACGTTATTACTGAAACCTGTAGAATTTGATTTCTCTGTATACTGTGTAACTTATATATATTGATTATTCAGACAATACATAGAAGAAGAAAAAAATTACTGTTTACTGTTGATTTTCCTCATTTCTAATTGATTATGACTGAATAAGAATAATTAGCAATGAAAAAAAAGAGACGGAAAAAAACTCTTTACTAAGTTTTACTTTACTTAGTTTATTCAAAATTTTTTGTTGAAGTCAGATCGTTCAATGTTATTCCTACCATTTTTATTATACTCACCGTAAATAACTAAAACAGGAGGATTATGATTAGTTGGTGAAGACGAAGTGAAAATGAACGAATATTAATCAACGTGAAGAAAGTTTACTAGAATTTTTACATCAGTCAATAGTACGAAGTAAGATTTAATCTGAGCCTTTTTCTTCGAGTGAAAATCCTTAATTCTATTTGAAATATTACAAAACTTGCACATATTGAACACAGTTACTCCGTATGAGTCTACGTAGGTTAAAGAAATGATTTTAGCGACAAATTGACGTTTCCCTTATCTCTTTATGGTATATAACTACACATAAGAAAAGAATCTTTTACTATTCTTAAGCATATTCGTGACTATTGCTTGTTAAATATTTCATAAAGTTAACAATTACATCCTTCTTTTTGACATCTTACATATTACTACTTTTAGTTACAAAGAGAGAGAGAGAGAGAGATGGATAATACATTTGAATAACATTTGTTTTTTCGTTTCATCCATAAGCATATTTTGGCTTTTGTTCACTAATTACAAAAACCTGTTGTATAGCGAGGGCGTCCAATTGTTTTTGAGTTTTCTGCACGCCGACTATTTAAAAATTCAATTTTATAACATGAAATGATGTGTAGTCTTTCGAATCGTCGCAGAACTGTCTCTTTTTCAAAGTTATTTTCAAGGTTCATTCGATCAAATTAATAATAGTTATACTTTACTTTATCATTTATACGAATGGTCTATCACTACCTTACTTTTATCTCAAGTAGGTGCGCCACTTACACCTTTATTTTAATAACTAACAAAAAAGTGACACTTTTATTGTATCCTACAGTAGACAATAACTAATCGAGTGACTTTTTCGTGTAATTCTTATGGGAAAATAGAAAACGAACAAAACTTAATTAAATAAATGAATATACAGATCTTATAAGAGAAAAATATTATTTAACAAAGTTCGTTTAGATGAAAAAAGAAAAGAACATTATATTGAAGAAAAGAGTGACGGGGTCATATTTTCTTATAAATAAGTACGTTC